AGAAGTGTAAACAACCACATGGCTTGTTGTTCTCAGGTAGAAAGAAGTCCCAAAATAGAGAGTACAAAGTTGGTTAAGGTGGCTCCATATCACCTGGGCTGTACCTATCTGTTTCAAACATCCACAGCATGTTTGTTGCTTGGTAGTTGCAAACTCCTTGCTATCTCCAGTATCATGTCTGCATTCCAAGAAGGAGAAATGAATGGTGAGCAGACATTTGTACAATCTAAATGTGTAAAAAAAAAAAAAAAAAAAAAAAGTCTGAGTTTATACCTAGTGATTTATGCTTATATCTCATTGGCCAGAATATGTCACAGAGCCATCCCTAGCTGCAAGGGAAGCTGGAAAATATAGTTTTTGAAGTAGGGATATTGCTGCTCCAAATAAAAGTGGGTTCCAGAAGTAAGCATGAATAAAATAAATATTATGATAGCATTTAGCAGGGTCTGCCACAACTACTCAAAGAACTTTTCAATCATGTCAAAATTATCTTATTAGTTTAGCAACTTGGGAGACAGAGGAAGGGTACTGATTACACCTAATAATTGAGACCCAATTTCCAGTTTCCAACAGTCCATGTTAAATAATTTAAGGTGAATGAACTCTAAAAAAAAAAGTGTTTTTATATTAGCTTTACATACACACACACACACATTCACACATATATATGTATACATATAATATATATAAAATAAGTTACAGAGTTACAAGTGTTAGAGCATTTGAAATTTTTTAGGTATTTTAGGTAGGACAATTAATAGGTAATTCAATGAGGTATCAAACAGACTGTATTTATTCCTGCTTTAAAATGTGAATAATTTAATGTGAGGCAAATCATTTATAATTCTTGTAAAAACAAAGTAAATGCTTTACCAAAGCAAAATTTTTTTCATAGTTCATCAGAAGAACCCTCAATAATTTACAGAAATTTTAGACCCATTGAATTAGTCTCTGATGATACTGGGGAATGTAACCTATTTGTTGCTCCTTAACAAGCCCACATAAGGCCATGCGCAGTGGCTTATGCCTGTAATCTTAGATTTTGGGAGGCTGAGGTGGGTGGATCACCTGAGGTCAGGAGTTCGAGACCATCCCAGCCAACATGGCGAAACCCTGTTCCTACTGGAAATACAAAAATTAACTGGTTGTGGTGCTACCTGCTGTAATCCCAGCTACTCAGGAGGCTGAGGCAGGAGAATAGCTGGAACCTGGGAGGTGGAGGCTTCAGTGAGCTGAGGTCGCACCACTGCACTCCAGCCTGGGAGACAGAACGATACTCCATCTCAATCAATCAATCAATTAAAAAAACCCACATAAAATTGACAGTCACTGAACTTTGTTCATTTCTGTATCTACCATATGTATTAATTGTTATCGCTTTCTTTGTGCCAGGCACTTACAAAAACCAAGTGAAATAGGTGCTATTGATTTCATTTTGTATTTAAGAAATCGATAAATTCTAAACCTGCTTGTTGAAAATGTAAAGGAATAAAAAGCATAAATCTCCAATGTTAACATTAGCTGGTAAATACGAGGTCTTACATGGATACTATCCAGGTTTGGTAACTGAACAGAAAAGGTACTATGGGATTGTATTCTGTAATGGATAAGGCAGCACAGCACTGGAATTACAAGCATAGACTGGATTTGAATCCTGACTTTCTCACTTAATAGTTGTAATCCTGGGAAAACTGCCTAACATATCTATGCCTTAATTTCCCTATTTGAAAATGCAGATAATAGTACCTCCTCAAATGGTGCTAGAACTAAATTGATTAGTATTAGTAAAATATTTAGAGCAGTGCCATAGTAAGAACTCTATTATCTGCTGTTGTGTAACAAATTAATCCTAAGCTTAGTACTTTAAAATAACAGAAATGAATGATCTCACATTTTCTGTGGGTCAGGAACCTGGTAGTTCAAACTGTTTATAATTCTTGCCAAAACAAGAATTAAGGTGTCTCATGACATGGCATTCAAAGAGTCAACTGTGGCTGCATCATCTCAAGACTTAGTAAGGCTGGAGGGTTCATTTCTTTTTTTCTTTTTTTTTTTTGAGACGGAGTCTGGCTCTGTCACCCAGGCTGGAGTGCAGTGGCCGGATCTCAGCTCACTGCAAGCTCCGCCTCCCCGGCTTACGCCATTCTCCTGCCTCAGCCTCCCGAGTAGCTGGGACTACAGGCGCCCGCCACCTCGCCCGGCTAGTTTTTTGTATTTTTTTAGAAGAGACGGGGTTTCACCGTGTTAGCCAGGATAGTCTCGATCTCCTGACCTTGTGATCCGCCCGTCTCGGCCTCCCAAAGTGCTGGGATTACAGGCTTGAGCCACCGCGCCCGGCCGGGTTCATTTCAAGAAGGCTGTCTCAGGTAGCTGGAAATTCGTGCCTTCTGTCAGTGGGGGGTACCTGTCTGCCTCCATGTGGCCTCTCATCTTCTAGGGTGTCTTTCTACACCTGTATTCACCAAAACAGCTTCTTTACATGGTCTTCTTAATGTGGCAGCTGGGATCCGAAAGAGAAAGCCAGTGAGAAGGTGCATCCAAGAAGGAAGCTGATCTTTTTTAAACCTAATTTCAGAAATGACATCCCAGTATTTCTGCCCTATTATTCATTAGCAGTGAGTCATTATCTCTTGCCCAAATTCAAGAGAATAGGATTACACATGGATGTTAATTCCACAAGGTGGGATCACTGGATCCCACATCAGAGGCTGCCTACCTCAGTGAGGCACTATCTGTTAATTAAGATAAATATGAACTATTGCTGTATTCCTTCATATATTTGAGTCTCTCCAAGGCCAAGTCTACCGTCATTATCTAAAGGCTCATGTTAAAAGATTAAATTAATCAAATGAATTTCTTAAAGAAGCAAAACACAATTAATATATTGTTTATTTGTCCAAAGACTACTATAAACTTTGGTTAGAGAAATATTTATTAACCATCAACCAAAGGAATCCTGTTATGCAGGATTATTTATTAACTAGCTAGATTAGGTTAGCTTAGTTTCTGGCTCCACCATGGTCAGAAGCCATGAATTGGTGTTCAGAATTCTGAAGACACTGTTCATATGCTACAAGAACTGTCTTTTCTAAATTAGAGAAATAAGTGGAAAGCATATAACCAATACAAAGGATATGGAGAAATGTACATTTCAGGAACAACTAGGCCACAGTTACTGAGATTGAGGGCCTAGGGCATCAAATCAGTTCCATCCTCTTTTTTATTTATATGCCTGAAAAGTATACTCCAACTAGTCCTGAATGAAAAAGTACATAGTTTAAAAAACAAACTGCAAAATGGTATTTATTTACATTAAAACATGAATTGCCTGTATACACATGAATAGAAGAGGAACAATCTGTTATGCACAATAACTGTAATATTTAGTACATGTTATACACAGTAGTATCTGTTAAGTCAGTGGTTTGAGTGAAAACACAGTACCAAAACATTCCGGATACAAAATAAATTACTCATTCACATATTCTAATCATACAAGACACTTAATATTTTAAAAGTTACGTACTTCAAATAACACTGGCTAAATGTACAACTAAAGTGTATTAAGTTTTTTTAGGAAAAGACTTCAGATTGTTATTCATAAATGATCCCTTTCAGGATGCATTATCTTTTAAATAAATAAACTAAATTGACTTCAAGACTATTTATAAATAGCCCACTAAAATATGATTGAACACATTCTTTCATTTTATTAAAGGTGTAGCTATATACTAGAGAATATGCTCAACTACTGCCTCCAAATTCCAACACTGTCATTCTAATTTGCAAATAGAAATTATTTAAATTCCAACTTTAGTACATGAGATTAGCTGCCTGCCCTATGTTGTCAACTGTTTCCAAAAGTATTAACAGATTAACAGACTGTCTTGAACATTTCAAACGTTTGAGAAATTCAAGGGTTTTTTCTATGTTTTAGGTTAAAGCTGAGCCTATATATGGAGATTTTGAGATAAACTGAACACTTTTAGAAGACCTTCACAAAGAGTTTTTCAATTCTAAAATCTATTACAGATTTATATAAAGTCCAAGAGAACATTTGGAATATTTTCATAATGCAGTGAAGAATTCATCTTTGGCATTTCTCCATTCATTCTAAAACATTTCAACAAACATTTTATACATGTCTATCTACCTACTATTGACATTTTCTGTACACAAAAGTATTTGATTGAAATTTGAGTTTTAACAGCAATTTCATTGCTAATAATTTTTTTTTAGATATGAAAAGTATTAGTAACATTCAGTTTTTTACTATGAGAAGCTGAAATATTTTGATGTTGTTGAAATGAATTTGCTCAGTTTCCTTCTTCGATGACTGGCAATTCAACATCCTATCAAATTCAGCAATGGATAAAGCAGACATACTTTACATTAAAAAACAAAAATTGTGACAAGGACATAATTTTTGAATAATATGAAGCATTCCTCTATTAAGGAAAATATGTGTGTGTGTGTGTGTGTGTGTGTGTGTGTGTATATATATATATATCCATATATCTTCAAATGAAATGGGTATGACAGAAATCAAACGGTTATATTTTCTTTCTTGGTATCTGTGGTTTTTCTTAAAGGAAACAAACAACAAAAACCAACAACTCTGCTACAAATGCCGATTTGTAGAAACGTTGCCACAATGGCTTCCACATTAGATTTCCACGTTACTTCCAGTATTCACAAATTTTTTGCTCTCATCATAACCAACCTAATGTTTGAAAATAGTCCAAGTGTAATTATTTAAAAATAATAATAGAAAACAGTAACACAGCTTTTATAATTGAACACATTTTCCTCATTCAAAACTAAATATGAGGAAAAATCTCAGTAAAACGGAACCAAAACCATTTAGTAGCTCAATGACATGCTATATTCCCCAGGGCTTACCGAAAATATAAACAAAGAAACCAAAATGTAAAACAAATACAGTAGGTAATTGATGCTATTTGCCAATGTTTGCAAAGGCCTTGGGTAACAAAAATGAGATAGTAATTATGGCTCTGACATTAACACATTCTTCAAATGCAATTACCAATTTTATTCTCTAACCAAACAGAATAATGGAAATCCAAGCAGAGAATGATGTACAGGACATAAAGGAATTGGAATATAAATTGGGTATTTCTACTATATGGTGCTGAAAAACTTGAATGCCTTTAGAAACAAAATAAATTCATCTATTAAATGCATAAAACTCCTGGAGAATATAGATTACAAGAATATGACACTTAACAGGATACTGAATTTGTGAATGTAAATTTGTTATATAATATGGCAGTTGCTATTATGTATGCAGCGTATGCTAATAATACTGCTATCTTCCAACCACTGTAAATACCTGACAAGATCCTTCAAGTATAGTTCAAATTATTAGTTACATGTGATAATACAAGTAATTACCAGCTCCTGCTAATACAATTTAGTAAGAACTGGAAATCTCATAATTGGCACTATTTAATGTTTCTAGAATATAATGTTAAGTGCATATGGTTATCAATCTCCAGAATCCAGAAAATATAGTCATCCATATTCTTATAAGAGAGCTGTACCTCAATTTTATCATTTTAGAGTATTTGTTAGAATAGGATCTCTCCAAAATCAAACAGGATCAATTTGGACACGTCTAATCCTAAGACAACACGCCATGTAAAATTTTCCTGTATCTAAATGTTGCCCTCTAGGTAAATCTGTGATATTTTAGAAAGAGACTTTCTTTTGTGGAAAAGGTAATCTGATAAACGGGAAGAGATCACTAGACAAGATCACAAATAACCATTATTTCTACAGAATTCAGTTGAAGTTGGTTTTTTGTAAATGCTTATTGGGAATTTCTAAAGCACTGACTTGGAGAGGCCAAGAGCCTCCATCAATCCCTGCTTGGATAGCCACTCCCGTTACCACTGCTAGGTCAGGGTCTACCGATGTGTTGGGATCTTTTCCAAAGAACTCTTGAATGACCTGACGGATCCGAGGAATACGAGTGGAGCCCCCAACTAAAACCACCTCATCAATCTCAGTCTTTTCCAGGTGGCCTTCTTTCAATACTTGCTGAATGGGTACGAGTATTTTCTGAAACAGGTCTTCATTCAGGGTATCAAAGAGTTTGCGTGATATTTCCGTTTCAAATAAAACCTGACTTTCTCCACTTTTCTTATCAGAAAGGCCGAGTCCAAACCCACTGTTCACATGATGGTCATCTGCTGAGGAAAGTTTGTCTTTTGGCAGTTCAGTGTCACTAGTGTGAGGTTCCTTCCTGTCCTGTTCCTCCACCGTTAGTAATACTGACAACTGAGCAGCTTGATGAAGAGTCAGATTTAATTTGACCATTTCCACAGCTTGTCTCAATCTGTGGATCTCCTCTTTCCTAGAGGGCACAAAGCCATACGTTTGATAGATCTGTTTATATAAGTACTGAAGCAATCTCTGATTGAAGTCCTGTCCTCCAAGTTTATTGTTTCCTGAGTGAAAAATAAAAAAGTTTAATATAGTTACGCACATATGTGTGTATGTATACATGTATATTATTATGTATATGTAACAATTATATTCTGGGAATAACAAATCCCTGTTTCACGTATCATTACAATTTTATTCATACAAAGACTGGTTAAAAAGAACTGTGTTGCTGGGCATGGTGGCGCACACCTATAATCCTAGAACTTTGGAAGGCTGAGGTGGGAGGATTGCTTGAGACCAGGAGTTAGAGACCAGACTGGGCAACATGGCAAGACCCTGTCTCTACAAAATAAATCAATAAAAAAAAATTTAAAAAATAATAACTGGGTTAAAGCTATCTTAACCCAAATAAGTACTATTTAAAAACTAGTGCACATCAGGGTCAAAATTTTAAATTATGTAAAAGGAAGTATCTCTTCACAGCATCAAATACTTTTTCAGTAAATAGAGATTAAGAATACAGATTGGCTTATAAGTAGCTATTTAAAAACACTGAATGTCATTCTCAACAGAAGAAAGTGCTTCTTATAATGAAAAAGTAGGTATTTAATCTCTTTTTCTCCTTTCATTTTTTCTTGCCTGATTAGTAGGACCTGAAAAGGTCTTTCTACTTTTCTACCTGAAAACTAGATAAATAATTTCAAAGGAAAAGAGTAATGTAATATAATTTCCTGGTATTTAACTTGATTCGAAGAAGAGAAAAAACAATGCAGAGGTTAGAATACCTATAACTTACAACTCAACTCGTCAAACAGGTTGAATCCCTTAAGCTACATTCAACGAAACGAAAACCTTTAAAGAAAGGGTTTAGAATGCAAAATCCTATCATTTCCTAGGGAAAAATACAATTCGATTTTCTAAAGACATCTACTCTATAAAACATATTAAATGAAATATACTGATCACCCTTCATTTTAAATAAATTTTTCTGCCCTCTGTTTCCTTTCTTCACCATCACCATGAAAAGTCCTACTGGCTCCATGAGCCGTTAACTGGGTAATGGGCAATGTATTTATTTGACTTATAGGATGCCCAGTCATTTTTTGAGATTTAACTTTTGGCAGTAAATATATACAAATGGTGGTATAAAATTACATATACAGAAAATTATCAAAATAAAGTCAAAGAATTCCAGGGGAAAAGAAGGATGCACTACACATTGGATATGTTAAAGAAAGCACTGCCCAAACCTCTTCAACTCTCCCTGCATTTTTCTGTATTTTTTTTTTTTTTGTAGAGAAGGGGTTTCACCGTGTTAGCCAGGATGGTCTCAATCTCCTGACCTCGTGATCCGCCCGCCTCGGCCTACCAAAGTGCTGGGATTACAGGCGTGAGCCACGGTGCCCAGCCTCTCCCTGCATTTTTCTTACCAGACATTGCTCGGGTTAGAAACATCCCTCCTTGTTTATTCAGTAAAGACACATCTAGAGTTCCTCCACCCAAGTCGATCACCAACACGTGGAAGACGTCAGCCTTGTGGAGGCCATAAGCCATAGCTGCCGCTGTGGGTTCATTTATTACCCTCAAAATCTTCAGTCCTGTAAGATTGGTTGAAGGGAAGAAAAACTCAGGAGAGGATGCGATAAAGTAATCTCTTCCCACTCACACGATGTTTGTGTCTTCTGTGACATGAACTCCACCAATGAGTAATAATGATCTAGATGTGTATAAGAGACAGGAGCGAGACTCCGTCTCAAAAAAAAAAAATTAATCATTATATACTATCACTTAAGTGCTATGGAAATTAAAGAGGCTTATGTTGAGCAGGTAAAAGATCAGGTTTCTTTGAATGAAATTCCTGCTTTAAACTACATGTCACACTTATGAGTGGTATGGAAAGTAATATGGCATTATGTATCAGGAGCTATGACAACATTCAAACTCTAAAGAATTACTCCAAAGATCACAACACCCTTCCCTTCAGCTCTCTGATTTTACCACTTATTCTACTCTGGCCACACTGACCAGTTTCCTATCCTCTATGTACCAGCAAATTCCCAGCTTATGGCTGTTGCAGTGGCCATCTCTTCTTCCTACAACACACTTTCTCCATGTGTCTGCATGGTTAACGATTTTGCTTTCTTCAAATGTGCTTAAATGTTACTTTCTCAATGAGGTTTGCCTGATCACTCTATTTAAATTCTACAAGTCGTCCATCCCCTGACCACCAAAAGCAACCTCGACCCATTAGCCTGCTCTTTTCTTCATAGTAGGTTACTTTCTGATATACATTGTATCAGTGGCTCTCAACAACGCAGGATTTTACCTCCAGAAGAAATCTGGCAACATACGGAGACATTTTTCATTGTCACCACTTGGTGGAGGAGGGTGCTGGTGAATAGAGGCTAGGGATGCTGTTAAATATTTTGTAGTTCACAGGACAGTCCTCCACAATAAAGAATTATCTGGCCCAAAATATCAGTAATGGAGAGGTTGAAAACATTATTAAATTTATCTTTTATGCTCATTCTGTGTTTCCCTCTGGTAGAATATAAGTTCCATGAGAACAAAGATTTCTTTCTTTTTTTAGCAAGGCCCTCAATATTGGTTCAATGGCATTAAATGTTAAATCATTAAATGATCTACCTCAGATTTTATTTTAAAAATTATATTCACCTTAACATTAATGGAATTCAGAAGAAAGAATTCCTCACTGCTAACATGTGTCCATTTTCTCTTTGAGCCTTTGTCCTGTAGCTATCTGATTGGTTCTTATTACATACACATTTTATATTGTGCTATAGAGCTTTCAAAATTATAAACCTGTATAAAAATCCATCTACTTTACCTACTGTGATGGTTAATATTATCATCTTGATTGGATTGGTGGATGCAAAATATTGTTCCTGGGTGTGTCTGTGAGGGTACTGCCAAAGGAGATTAATATTTGAGTCAGTGGACTGGGAGAGGCAGGCCCACCCTCAGTCTGGGTGGGCACCGTCTAATCAGCTGCCAGAGCATGCCTAGAATAAAAGCAGGCAGAAGACTGTGGGAGGATTAGACTGCCTGAGTCTTCCGGCCTCCATCTTTCTCCCGTGCTGGATGCTTCCTGCCCTTGAACATCGGACTCTAAGTTCTTTAGCTTCTGGACTGTTGGACCTACACCAGTGGTTTGCCAGGGGCTCTCGGGCCTTGGGCCACAGACTAAAAGCTGCACTGTTGGCTTCCCTACTTTTGAGGTTTTGGGACTCAGGCTGGCTTCCCTGCTCCTCAGCTTGCAGCCAGCCTACTGTGGGACTTCACCCTGTGATAGTGTGAGTCAATACACCTTAATAAAATCCCTTTCATATACACATATGTACTATTAGTCCTGTCCCTCTAGAGAACCCTAATACACCTACCATATAGTTTGTTTATTTTGACTATCGTGTGGTTTGGGAGGTGGTAAATCTTACTACAGAAGGTTTTCAACCCAACACAATTTTGAGAAAAATGCATCTCAGTCAAGGGTACTGTTACCTGCAAGGTTAGCAGCTTCAATTGTTGAATTTCTCTGTTTTAGATCAAATTCTGCTGGTACAGAAATGACAGCATTGGCAACTGGCATTCCAAGATAGGCCTCTGCCATTTCCTTTAACTTCAACAATAGTCGAGAGCCAACATATTCTGGGGACACCGTGATGGTCTCATTACTTGTCACAGAAAACTCAACCATTCCATTTTTGTTTAAAACCTGTGAAAAGGATTTGCAAATAAGTAAATAAAAGAGTAAAAGTATATATACATATATATGTGTGTATATATACAGACAGACATACACATATACATAAATGCTAGACTTCCTGAGAACTTACCTTTATCTTTACAAAACAAAAAAATGCATTTGTAATGTATCCAGTACATTCACCAACATTAGAACTTGTTAAATGTTATACATTCAAATTTATACTATGAATACATATTAGTTTTACTTTTTTTTTTTTGAGATGGAGTCTTGCTCTGTTGCCCAGGCTGGAGTGTGGTGGCATGATCTCGACTGACCACAGCCTCCGCCTCCCGGGTTCAAGCAATTCTCCTGCCTCAGCCTCCCGAGTGGCTGGGGCTACAGGTGCGCGCCACCATGCCTGGCTAATTTTTGTATTTTTAGTAGAGACGGGGTTTCACTATGTTGGCCAGGTTGGTCTTGAACTCTTGACCTTGTGATCCGCTCGCCTGAGCCTCCCAAAGTGCTGGGATTACAGGTGAAAGCCACTGCGCTTGGCCCACACTAGTTTTTAATAACAGCAGAATAAAATTCATCACCAAGCACATGACTAGAACACAAAAGATTCTCAGTATATGTTTTCTGAATAAAGAAAAAATAAATGATGAAATGTAAGAAATGAAGGTTGCTCATTCAAGTATGTAACTCAGAATCTTCTCCCTTTTTTCCCCAAATTTCTTGTTTCTAAGAGTAATGGATAGCTGAAATAATTTTCTAGTACATATTAACAATAATAATATTAGTATATCATTATGTACTTATCTAAGAATCAAATCTCATTTACATTCTTGTTTCCCATGAAAACATGTATTGTGCATTAGCTCATTATCCCCGATAATGTGGGTATACATTTAAAAAACTATTTTAACTCTAAACAATACTATCCTAGTTTTACCGAGGTTGTATTAATATAAATACAAAAGATAACTAATCTACGAAATTACAAGAATGTTTTCTCACTTTAGGTCTCATGGTTAGGTTTCCATCATGAAAAACTGACCTTCCAAAAAGTACTTCACTAGTGTGGGTAAAACATAAAAAAAGCTATATGGAAAATATTAAACTACAAAACAAACATACCAGAACCATCAGTGCCCAGATGAAACAAAAATAATAACAAAAAAATCAGGTCACTTAGAAACTTTAAATAGTTTTGAGGTCAATAAGTAATGTACCCAAAGCTGTAATTCAGAGGACATACATAGCTTTAGACGACTTTTTCATTAACGATTGTAAGTCAATAAAGAATCCCAAAAAAGAAGTCAAAAAACAACAAAGTAATAAACCTAAGAAATGCAGGGAGCAATTTTTTTTTCTTTGAAAACGAATGAAAAATTTGAAAATTTTTATGAATAGGTTTATTCAATAAGCAACACCGAAACAACTATCTATTTTGAAACTAATTCATGGCCGGCATGGTAAAATCCCGTCTCTACTAAAAATACAAAAGTTAGCCAGGCGTGGTGGCGCACACCTGTAATCCCAGCTCGGGAGGCTGAGGGAGGAGAATCACTTGAACCTGGGAGGCAGAGGTTGCAGTGAGCCAAGATCATGCCATTGCATTTCAGCCTGAGAGACGGAATGAGACTCCGTCTCAAAAACAAACAAACAAACAAACAAAAAACTAATTCATTTAGAATTTCACTTCATAACTTCCAAGAAAAACTTCACATGGAAAAAAACTTTAAATGTTTAAAAGAAAAAAACAAAAGCAGCAAAATCCAAACCAACAAACACTCACATAAAAGTATTAAGAGGAAAAAAAAAAGTTCCAGTGGATAGGATGGGATAGGCTACAGTAAACATGGTAAAAGTCTAAAATCAAAAATTTAAACTTTGACATCCAGCTCAAAAACATCAGTGGAAAAAAAAGGTAAAGAAAAGATAACAAAAACATATGATGAAGGTCTTTTATAGTCTCTAAGGAAAAGAAAAACACACCAAAACAAAAAAGGAAAAGAACAAAAAATGGACCACAAAAGAAAATTAAAATATCAATAAAATTCTAAAAATTCTGATCTCACTAAAAAAACAAAAGAAATGAAAATTAATACAGGATACTGTTTTTCACTTATCTGACTGTTAAAGATTAAAAAAATAACTAGTGAAGATACAGTCACTCTAAAAAATTACGGTTAAAAGCATATAACCTTTCTGGTGAGCAAACCGGCAATATAAATCAAATGCCTTAAAAACATGCACACATTTGACCTATGAATTCGACTTCTAGTATTCAAGTTAGGAAACTTTCAGAGAAGTGTACAAAGATAAGTGTGTAAGGATATTACCTGAATCTCCAACCTTAGTGAAAAACCACAAAAAGGTACACTGACAGAGACTAGTCTAATTAATAATGGAATAGTCATTCCACAAAATCATTAAAGATAATGATGTGAACCTATTAATTATCCATGACATATTAAATAGCATAAAATGGCACACCTGGTATGTTCTCTTTATATGTATACAAATATGTACACATACACACACAGAATATCTATCTATGGTACACAGGGCTTCATCAACCTTCCTGCTACCTTGAAACAGCTAAGCAAGACATGCTGAGGATGGGAGAGCAAGAAAATGGCAAGGCCTTAAGTACCTGTTAGCATTATGGAGTCAGTGATTAACTCATCCTAGAGCTGCTGCGGAATTTCTTGTTATGTGAGATAACAGAACTGTCATGTATTAATAGATTCAGCTAGACGAGATAGAATGTTTTGTGACATGAAGTCAAAGCATTAACTAAAAGGGTACACTAAAATTAATACAGACTTTAGATTAATCACTTACCTTAAATGGGTATCTGCCAATTTCAGCCTCCAGCTCTTCTGGGGTGAAAATCTTGCCTATGAATCTTTTGGCATCATATATTGTGTTTTGAGGATTTGAATCTGCCAGCTCTACGCTTTCATATCCCACATATACATCATTGTCAGTGAAAGACACCATGCTGGGTATGCTGATATGCCCATTTTCATCTGGAATCACCTTTACTTTTCCTGTGCCAGGAAAAAACACCCCAACGGAACAATAGGTGGTGCCAAGATCAATACCAATCACTTTAGGAGTAGGCAATGGTAAATACTGTTGTGCCAAATAGCCAGCCAACAGGAGGGTCAAAACAGCCGATCCTGAAATACAGGAAAATTAAAAGATGTATTTTTTCAAACTAGTACAATGTACTAAATTACTGTAGCAAAGTCCCTCGTCGAAACAAGGCTAAAAAAGACAAACTCCAAAAATTTTTATAGGACTATTGATAACACTCCTCTCAGACAGCAAGTTTTTCAAAATGTAAACTGGTTATAATAAAATTTAAAATGAAGCAACAACACAAACAACAACAAAAAAACCCTATAACTGTATGTTTGTGTCATTCTCTAATAAATGTAATAAATGTAAAAACATTTCAATAATATTTGTGCAGATGCTGACAAGAAACATTTATCTGGAGCAAAAGCCAGATATAATCTAATATTCTTGAGGAATTGATATTTAGATTTTATAGTTTTATAAAAAGCTTCGACTATCATTTTTTTAAAAGCTCCATTATTAAAATCCTCACAACAAAAACTATTATTGTAAGGCTAAAATTCTGTCTTCGTATCTCACCTCCTTTTCCCTTTCAAAAGGATGAAATGGATAAATCGGATAAAATGATTTTGAAAGTTCCTTAGATATGAAACTGTCACTTCATAACAGAACATAGTTAACTTTTTAAGTATTTAAGTATGAACTAGGGACATCCTTGCAGTGGTAATATTTACAGGAGAAGAAGCATAAAAGTGGGCAACCCTGATGGCAATATCTATGAAAGCTTCCTGAAGACAAATTTTGTTCACTGTTGTATCCCCCAGACCAGGAATAGCAGATGCCCAACAAATACTAATTAAAAAAAAAAAAAGAAGAAAAAAAGAGTAGGAACAAATGCCACGCAGATTGTAAACATAAGTGAAGAAAGATGCCCCTTTGGTTTTTAGTTAATCTCGTATTTGGTATCAGGAGGCTGTGTTATACACCTGTGTCCACTCATATTACATATGACCCAAAATGTCAATTGTCAGGCCTCTGTGTTACCAATTGTTAGCTCATCCTCATCAACACATAACTCAAAGAAATAAAACCAAGTGCAAATCCCACTTTCCCCTTCCAGCTACAGGCAACATTTTAGAAGCATTTCATCACCTTGGAGACGCGGGGTGGGTGTTTGTGTGGGTGGGGGATAGGTAATTCCAAACCCGATTTGATGGAAAAAGCATCGATCGAGCTATACATCAGAGTCCTGAATCCCTCCAAATTCAGCATCCGTGAGCCAACAGATCCGGATGTAGCTCCTCCCCCTTCCACCACAAAGGGGTCCTGGAGGTGCACGTTCTCGCAGCCTTCCATAGCTTGCCCCAATTCAACAGGCAATTCAAAAACCTAGGTGCTGTTGAAAGGAACGCCTCCTTAAGCCTGATGTCCCTGCGATGGACACAGCTGGTCGCCCTCTACCCTACCTTGGCCTGCAGGGGCCAGGGCCCTCCTAGAGGCGTCCCCGCCCCCATCCACTCCGAACAGCCGAAAACCGCCTCTAAGTCACCTTTCTGACTCCCCTTCCGCTGCTCCAGCTGGATCCAGGAGGTGAGTCAACCACCCCCGCCCACGCTGGCATCCTCGAATCGCCTCTACGCCCGCAAGAGCAACAAGGACCCCCGGGAACCCACCTAAGATCGTCATCTCTCTGGCCATCACAGTCCCGCCGAACAGGCTTGTGATGACTGTACCAGACGTGAGGCACCGCCCCCACTCCGCCCGGCAGTCCCGCAGCCCCCTGGGAAATGTAGTCCTCTTGCTCTGAGGCAATCGGAGAAGCTATCACTCTGACGAAAGCAAAGACTTTATCTACCGTGAGGGCGCGGGGCAAAGAGCCTCCATTCAACCGCTGCCAGTGACGACTGAGTCCCCCTCTCACGCAACGGCCGGCAGGACCAGTCAGGCTGAGGGGGAGGAGCGCCGAGGCGGGAGACTAGAGTTTATAATCAAACCTGTTGTCCCGCGGCGGTATCTCTTTAGCCCCGCCCCACGCTTTGCATTCTGGGGAACGTAGTTCCAGCTTGTCTCTCTCCGCGGGAGGGAATGAAATGGAGGGTGAGAACCGTTAGTTATTGCTTTCTTTGGTCGCGCACCTAATCAGGTCCAGGATTCGAGTTTGTGTTCTTTCGTTTTAATTCTTTTGAAAGCGCGTTCGTTTGCCTGAGATCTAGCTTCTAGATGGCGTTCCCATAGCCTCCCGGAGCCCCAGCCATCCTCCGTAGAAGGGTCCCTGCCGCAGTGCGGGGGCCCGAGGGAAGTCGGCTCTGGCGTCCGTGCTCGCAGCCCTGGGAACAGCCATGAAACTCCAGTGACCCTCAGCCCTCTCTGCCTTTGTTTTGGGATAAATGAATTCAAGCATTCTTCAGTCAATTCGATTTATCCAAGGGATCAGGGACACATTTTCTCTATTGCTAACACTGAAGTGGGCCATTAAAAACAAAAACAAAAAACGAAATTAAAAGGAAAACCCTTAGCTCTCTCTTCAAGTAAGTCTTAAGTGGCCAAAGGGACCTTATGGACAAGTCCTGTAACGTGACAGCCATTTTAGGACGCTTGTGACATGCTGTTCAGGTTCTAGTCTGAAGTAGTATTTTTCTTGCATCCTGGTCACTGTGGGTCGCACTGAATGGCTCCTCTGAGAGTGGTTTTGTCATTTTTGCTGTTAGAGTTCACGATAACTAAGATCCTGGAGAATTGAATCCATTTCCTCAGCTTAGATATAAATCAAACCATCCCTGTTGACAACACGTCAGCCTGCTGTGGGAATACATCGCTGTTTATTTCTATCTGACTTACCAATGTGAATTTTGATTATGGAAGCTGAATTCTGGTTGATAGGGATCCATTGCAATGTTCTCTCTACTTTTGTGCATTTTTAAGTGTTTCATAATGCAAACTATAAAAAGTGTGTATCTACAATGAGTGCTGTTCAGTAAGATTCTTGTGAGGAGTGAAGAATTCAAGCACTTAGTTCTTAAGTATTACTTGTAATGGGCAATGCGCTAGAGGTGTTCCAGGCAGAGGGAACTGAGTAACCAAGAGCATAGAAGCAACAGATCATCTATTCCATAGATTAGAAAGTGGTGGATCATAAAGCATGAGGTAGAATTCTGAGAGACAGAACTAGAGACTTAAACCAGATGAAGATTAGCCGTCTGTGGCAAGCACTGGTCATTGGGATTCTCCCTGCCACCCACTCCTTTCTCCTTGCTAACAAGATCCTGATTTGTTCAAGAAGCAGATAAAGATTATGTGATCTCAGAGTAGAAGGCCTTTAGAATTAAGATTGAACTAAATAGGTTGTATTCATTTTCTATTTCTGCCTTAACAAATTACCACAAATTTCGTGTCTTAAACCAACACAAATCTATTATTTTTGCAATTCGGTATATCAGAAATTTGGTATGCGTCTCACTTAACTAAAAGCAAGTTGTTAGCAAAGCTGCCTTTCTTTCTGGATGTTCTAGGGGAGAATCAAGTTTCCTGCTAATTTAGGTTATTGGCAGAATTCATTTTCTTGCAGTTGTAGGGTTCAGGTCTTCATTTTCTTGCTGGCTGTAACCTGAGAGCTCTTTCCAGTTTCTGAGGCCATACGCATTTCTTAGCTCAGAGACCCTCTTTCTCCATCTTCAAAGCCAGCAACAGTGAGTCAGATCCTTCCCAGAAGACAGCTTTTTGCATCACTCTTTCAAATTTTAGATGTCACGTGTTTACATTGGACCTATCTGGACAATTCAATGTAATCTTCATTTCAAACCCGGTAAACTTATCATATCTGCAAAGTTCCTCTTGCTGTGTAAGGTAACTACACAGTTAGAATTCACAAGTTCTAAGAATTTGAGGAGGCTTTTATTCTGCCTACTAAAATGGTTCTGTGGCTCCTCAAATTCACATCTGTCCACATACAAAATGCAACATCTGCCAAAATCCCATCCCATTATAGCATGAACTCAAAGTCCAAAAAGTTCATCTATACTTCATTAATTCAAAAGTTTCACATCTGATTATCTAAATCAACTACATCGTGTAGTAACTAATACCACTTATCCCTTCTTGTTTGTTTACAATCAGGGGAACAATGAAATACTTAGATAAGAATGCTAGTGAGACTATTCCAGTGATGTTATAAAGAACAGAAAAGCCAAGGCATTGGGGTTGGGAAATAATCGTTGTTATCATTCTCCAATGGTGACCAATTAATTTGTTGTTTTTACAGTTATTGCTTGGTGTTTTATGTTACAATCCATTGCAATTATTATCCTTCTTGATACTTAGATTGTTTTAATTTTGGCCGATGGCAGCCTCTTCAAAATTCACTCATGAATGCTTTTGACACAATCACTTTACTTACTGCCTTGCTACCTGCTCTAAAAAGATATCTAACATCCTCTTATTTGTTTTTTTGTTTGTTTATTTTATTTCATACTTATAATTAACTGTATGTCTATGGAACCCTACTTTCTTTTATTAAGAAAGTGTGGTATCTGGAGACCATAATTTGTATGCTAGGTGGTTATTATTTTAAGGGTGCCAGTTCTTTTTATATCTTTGAATTCAGTGAAATATCAAATAAAATACCAGCAGAATATTTTATGACTTGATAAAATGACAATAAAATTTATTTGAAATATTTAAGATAAGAATTTAATGGGTATATAGTCCTTCCACATGTTAAGTGACAAAACTACAAACAATACTACAGAGGAAACAGAAAATGGACTTTAGGCTTAGCAGCACATGCTTGTAGTCCCAGCTACTCGGGAGGTGAAGGTGGAAGGAACACCTGTGCCCAGGATTTTGAATCCAGCCTAGGCAGCACGGTGAGACCCTGTTGCAAAAAACTAAATAAAAGAAATAAAAATAAAACGGACCAAAGAAGAAAGTGGCAATCTCTTCAAAATAAATGAAAGGTGTATTATTCAACAAATGTAACAGGGCAATTGGCTATTTATAACTTTGAATGTAAAAAGGGGTGTTATACCTTAACATCAAGGGTAGGAGAAGTCTTTGAAATTAAGACTTAAAACCTAGACACAAATAAGGCAAAACTAACCTGAACAGATAAATTGGATTATGTAGAATTTAAGATTATCTAGCAGGCAGAATTACCTATTTGAATTTATATGAAGTCAAAAGACAAATGACAAACTGAAGAATTACTAAACATACATGATGTACAAGAGATTTAATTCCTTACTTTATGGAGAATTCCTTCAGAGTATAAAGATGTACAACTCAATTGAAAAATAAGAAAGGACGTAAATGGACAGTAGAAAATAAAATAAAAGTAACTAACAAACATGAAAATAAATTCTACCTTAGTCACATGTAAATAAACATAAATCAGAATAATACCATGTCATTTCTACCTATCTGTAATCAATTGAATTGTGGTCGGCCTCCAAAAAAGATATACTGGAGTGCTAAACCCCTGTACCTCAGAATATGACCTTATTTGGAAATAAAGTTGTTGGACATATAATCAGATAATATGAGGTCACACAGGAATAGAGTAGTCTCTTAATCCAATATTACTGGTATCCTTCTAAGAAAAGGGCCATATAAAGGCACAGAAACACAAGGAGAATGCTATGTGATGACCAAGGCTGTGATTAGAGTTATGTAGCTACAAGCCAATGAATGTCAAAGTTTGTCTACAAACCAGCAGAGCTACGAAGAGACAATAAAGGATTCTCCTGCATGTTTTAGAGGGAACATGCCCAACTCATATTTTGATTTTGGACTTCTAATCTCCAAAACTATGAGACAATAACATTTTATTGTTTTAAAGTCATGCAGTTTGTGATAATTTGTTATGGCAACCCTAGGAAACTATATACTATCTTACTGGAAAATATTTAAATAAGCAGTGCTAGTGAATGTGCCTGTTGCTCATGATAGGCCTGTTTGTGGAGTACCTTTTGAAAGGGTAATATTGATTAAAATGCAGGGCACATAGACTTGCATTTATAGCCATGATTATAATGAATGGAATTATCCTTGCTCCACAGAGAAAGAGATGGAAAACAGCACAAAATTAGATGAAATAATAGTTTCAGACTTTGGAAAATAGGCAGAGAAACACTGTGATCCCTGAGAAAAAAAGAGATAAACCCCGTAAAATGTATAGTCATCCTGTATTTTTATTGAGAAAAACACTTGCAAGACCACAGTGTAGAGGAAAGTCCCAAGTAGAGTATATGGCCTTGCCTTGTAGAGAAGACACATATCAGAGTTCAGGAGTTTTGGAAGGAGGCTGAGGTTGCAGCAAAGGGCGCTGAAGAGATAAGCGCTATGCAGAACACCAGAAATCCCCAAGATATTGGGATACCTTTACTTCACACCATACACAAAAATTAACTTGAAATTAGTCGTAGATCTAAATGTAAGACCTCAAAGCTCAAACTACAAATTTGTGGGGAAAAAGCATGGGAGAAGATATTTGTGATCTTCTTGTAGGTAAAGATTCCTTACATGTGAAACAGAAAGCATGAATCATAAAAAAGTTGATAAATAGGATGTCATTAACATTAAAAATCTCTATTCTTACACACCATCAAAAAATGAAAAGTCAACTCATGAACTGAGAAAATATAGTACATATATCTAACAAAAGACTTGTATCTAGAGTTTATGAGTAATTCTTACAACTAAATAACAATATAACAGAAAATACCTAGTTAAAATTTGGTCATAAGATTGTAATAAACATTTCATAAAAGAAAATATACTAATAGCCAATAAATACATGGTAAGATATTTAACATTGGGGACAAACAAAATCACTACACGTCCACTACAATGGCTAAAACTTAAAGATTGATTCACTAAGTGTTGACATAGATATGGAACAACTGGAATTCT